TCCACAGGCTTGTCAGTAATGCCTCTACCTTCCAGCCATCCGTTTTGGCATAGACAAAGTGACATGCAGCAAGTTGTGTTGGCCAAGGCTTTGGCAGCCTTTTCTCCTACTAGTGCGTTTATTACTGGTTTAAATTTAAATCCATTTATGCAGCTGCCTCGCTCTGACAGTAACTCCTTGTGAGAAGCCAGTACTAGCTTTACTCCCTTGCAAGATCTTTTGATAGACTTTCCCTGCATTTGTGGTGGTGATGGGTGTTCTTGTGAACAGACAAAGCCACAATTAACTCTTTTAAAAAAAGAAAAACATTAAAAAAAAAAAAAAAAAAAAAAAAAAAAAAAAAAAAAAAAAGCCTGATGCTTAACATATCTTACTGCTATCTACATTGTCACCTCTGTTTTTATTCTCTGCTTGCTTTAAGCCACAGGCACCACACAAGTTGACTCACTGTCCAAAAGTATTGCAGAGAGTACAAAATCTATTCCAGTTAAAGCTCGCTTAAAAACCTACCTAGGGTCAAATTACTGTAGTACACGGAAATAAAAAGCGTTTATAGACGCTTCCTAACTAATTCCCTTTGTGAAAGGTAGTTGCATCAGTTTGCTGAATGGCAAAATACTCGTTAGGAAACATGTTTTGTTTAATGCTGATGACTTTGTTTTCCCTCCCCTTGGGGAGTGCAACGTGCAGCTGTCCTGTTCTTCAACACTTTGTTCGCCCCTTGGAGCTGGTTTGGAAGGCAGGAGCCCAGCGTTGCACTCTTGCCGTGCTCTGCGTCCTTCTTTTTGGTTGTTGGTTAATGGGGGGCTTTTTGGAGGTGTGTGTGAACTCATCCTGCAGAAAAGAAACCTATTTCACAGTTTTAGTGCATCTTCCCCTTTTTAAGCACTCTAAAAACGGAATTTGTGCTTTTTTTAAAAAAAAAAATTAATATGCATGAGTGCAGATACATTAATAGAAAATACGAATTTCCAAACGTCAGCTTTGTGGTTACTTCCCTAGTACTAATCTAGAGCTCCATCAAGCGAGCGTGGCTCTTGGCTCCTACAGAGAAGCACCTCAAGATCACGCGACATTTAGCCGTTTCTGCAGTGTTTCTGTAATAACTGTGCAGCTTTCTGAGCAGGTGAGAACTTGGAGGTTTTAGATACAGAAGGGCTCATCACCAAAGTGTCAGATAGCGAAATGTAAAGTTTCCTTAAAAGAAGTGTGATGTGGGTATGCAGGTTTATGCCAGGCACTGGAATGTTGGTGTCGTCGCTGCACAGAGGAATTTTCCTTCTTGCTTCCTTTAATAGGAAATGTAAAAATCACAAAAAGTTGCATTGAGTGATTCGATAGATCTGACGTGCAGTCGTGATAGAAGGAGGAAATAAAAAAGAAACAGACTGCTGAAGACTCCTTTCAGTAGCAGATAGTGTAGTTGAGCAACTGATTAAAATGATGATAAAAGGAAATACCTAATAGATACGAGATTTCAGTGGAAATGATTGCTAGTATATTTTACTGGTAGAAAATCTCTGATATAGCTGTGACTTGTCTCTACATAGCGAATGTATCCGTATAATATGCAGAAGGAGGTGTATGATGAAAATATACTGTTTATGATGAAAATATACTGTTAACATCTGCAACATTTAGGCTTTTGAAGGCATTCCCTGTGCTCAGTACACCTTGCTTCTCTGTCTGAAAGAACTCGTGAGCAGAAAGTAAGTCTGAGTTACAGGTTTGATACCTGCTCCCTGCCATGTACCAAGAGAGGTAAATGCAGTTCAGGGTAAGCGTTTGGAAATGTCCAGATAACAAAATTCGGGAATAGAGTTCCAGCATGGTGCTCGTAGGCGATTACCACAGCTTTTGTAGCTTTATGTGGGATAAGTGAATCCTAGTTCTAAGCAGAAGTAGAATATTAGTTACAACAGATTATGGGATGATTTGGGGGAATCAGGATGCAGAAATACCTTAGTTCTCCTTAGTCCTCCTAGATAGGCGTTTTCTCTCTATCCTTTCCCCTGTTGTCCCTTCTCCTCTCAGAGTGTAACACCTTGTTCTTGCCTCTGACTTTGCTTCCCTTCAGGTGAATTCTTTTTTTTTTTTCAGCCTGTTGCACATCTGGAGATGAGGGGCAAGAAAAGCAATGAGCAGGGGAGGTGCGAGTAGATCCTTGTCACTGATGTTCTCTCTGCTTATGTATATTCTTGCTTTTTCCTTGCTGGGGTCCGGGTTGCAGGGGGGACAACAGAGAACTTCACAAACTTAAAATGGCCGCTTCCCGACATCCCGCAGGGAACTGGTTGGGATAGCCCAAGGGTGCCTGGAAATCTGCAGTAGCGGGATTCAAGGAAGACACGTTTGCTTTGAGCTGATGGTGGTTGCAGTCGAGGGCAGACTGATCCCTTAGTTTAATTTTTTTTTTTGTGTGTGTGTGTGTGTATACAGCATGAAAGAAACCTTTTAACATTTGCTTTTGAGGATTGCTTTTAATAACTCCTCTGCTTAAGAGCATAAGACTTTCTTGTCTCCGCTCTTCCCACTGCCTCCCTCCCACTCCAGTAAATTTCTTGAAATGGGTCAAAGCAGAAATTTTGGAGTCTTACAGTCATGGCGAGCAATGTGAGCTTCCCAAATTGCTTGTTCAGCCTGCCCAGAATTGATGGGATTTGGGGGCAAAGGGAAAGAAGCAAGCAGGATAAGTCCTGCTTGTTCTCACTTCTGGTTCCAAAACATGTTCCAAGTCCTGACTCACTTTGTGCCCAGACAATTGGAAAATTAATATTCCTGGCCAGGAAGTTTGTTACCACTTTTGAATCCTTGGAGCTCACGATCATAGGCTCTGAACCCTGGAGCCAGGTCACCACCGCACACCTTTGAGCCTTGGCCCATGTTAGCTTTTCATTGAACCTTTTGGATTTCCAAGATGCTGAGACTTCTGTTGCTCTGTAACAGTGCCTCGAAGCCCTTCTGTCTACACGGTCTCCTTTCACTTTGTGGCTCCTTAAGGACAATATTCGGGAAGAGTCTGGCCCTTTTTGCCTTTTGCCTAAATCAGGACTCTCAAACTTGCAGGATCCTTTTGATAAGTGCTTGCTTAAAAAAAAAAAAAGCATTGGCTGTTTGAATTTTTCCAATATTTTTGATCTCTTTTGAGATGAAGACCTGTATTATGAAAAACCTTCCATTTGTGCTTGTTGGTTGTAATCCTGTAACTGCATTTATGTTTAAATAGACCTGTTGTGTTTATGGTTCAAATCAGGTAAGGGAGAACAGCCTAGTAATTTTCAAATGGTTTTGGTCTTGGGATCGTCAGCCATGGCATAGCTTATAGCCTTAATATGTAATGTATATATAGTGTAATATATAGAGGGCTTGGTGTTTTATTGTTTAGCTGTTGGAAGTGCATCTAGCTGTGCTTGTTCATAAACACTAGACCTTGAGCTTCAGGGCTTCAGTGCTCTGTATTGCCTGTGCACAGGGTCAAACCATCCCAGCTGCATGCTTGCATTTTCCCCCGCCTCTGTCTTTACCTGCAAAAATGTTTTGGGGTGAGAAATGTCCCAGAGGAGTTTGGAAAGGAGCAGGAAGGAGTTGGTGTGGAGTGTCCTGGAGTGCAGGTATCGATGAAGCAATCAGGGCAAGAAGGACATTCTTGCACCCGCTTCATTTGCCACCTGCCCCTTCTGTTCATCAGGGCACAAAATAGGATCTCTGCTTGAATCGCTTCTTTTTCTTTCTTGTGTCTAAACTTGGAAGGAAAGGTCTTTAAAACTGGAAAAGTAGATTTTTAAGGCTCTGTAACAGACAGCAAGCATTTGATTCTTCGTTCTGCTGAAATTCCCTCTTATTTCATGATTTGTTTTTCTTTGCTTTGCTTTAAATGTGTGCTTCCTTTTTAAATATAGTTCTCCAAGTTGCCGGCCGTACCAGATTGTTTATATTTTTTAAAAGCCTTCTGCTTAGCCGTTATATTGCTCTTTATAGTACTGCTTAACCACATTGGTTTCTGTTGCTCTTTTTTCTTGCATAAACTTAGCTGGGATGAATTTCAAATGTGGTTTATCCAACTGTTAAGTATTTCCCACTTTTCTGCAATAGATTTCACATATGTTACAGAATTCCAAACCAAGATCTGGTGGACATATTGCCCTATTTTTTTCCTTAAAGTCAAAAATACCATTTTTTAAGCATTACAGTGACAATATTTAGGTCACTGGCTCCAGCATGCTGCGTAGCCTAGAATCCATTTGTCATATTTAGCTCGTTTCTGAGGATTAAGATAACTACGGTCCATGTATTTATGAGGGAAAAAAAACAAAAAACTTTCCGTATCTCTTAAATGTGTGGTGATGAAGAAGGGGGGAAAATGGACCTTTTTTAAGTGGGAAACTGCAGAAGGAATCTTTTTTTTCCCTGTCATTCTTGCAGAGGTCAGATTTGGTGTCTCGTAAACCTCGTACATGCCCAACCTGGCACAGAAGCAGTTGAAAGTTGCAGCATTTACTCTTGCAAAAATGTAACTAACTGTTGGAACTAGAGTTTACTCACTGATTATCAGGAAAGAGGTTCTAGGACTGAGACATTTATGGGCATATTATATATGATACATGATTCCAAAGGTAGTCAGGTAAAAATAGACCTGGTTTAAATTTGTTAGAGCTCTGTAACCTGTGTTGGATTTGTGGACTCTGGGGAGGTGGCCGTGCCACTGCCAGCGGCAGTGTTAACGTTGGGTTGAAGCCATAAAAGCTTTTGAGGAAAAAATGGTGATATTTTGGCTTCAAGATGAAATTAGAATGGTTGTACACTTCATTTAATGGCTTTCAGAAGGTTTGGCGTCAGGATTGCACTGCACTGCGTTTGCAGGAGGTGCCTTGCGTTGCTTTGTAACCCAGCCCTTCCCTTATTCTCAACCAGCTGATGTAGACCTAAGCATATTTTTATTTCTGTGATGACTAAGTCTCTAACTCTAGTTGCTTTTTTTTTTTTTTTTTCCTTAACAGAGAGAGCTTGATACCACAGCAACAATATTGGCTAACCGGCAAGATGAAAGTGAGCAGTCTAGGAAAAAACTTATTGAGCAAAGTCGCGAGTTCAAGAAAAACACTCCAGAGGTGAGGAGAAAAGCTCTTTCAGTCTTTTGAGTTTCTTGAAATAGTATATGCTACTAGGCCCATTTAAGGTTGTCCTTAATGGTTTGTTTCCTTGATTTTTTGCACGCACTGCTACGTCCACCATCTTAACCACAACTGCTTATCTTTGGCTTCCCTCCTCAGAAAGCTTTGCATTCTGTAATTAATAAAATATGAGCTGTCTGTTTTGGAGGAGGTATGAACGTTAGACTTCAAAGAGGTTGATCTAAATTTCATAATAATCTAAAACCTGGAGAACTGCAAAGGAATTTTGTTTAGTAATCCACATGCTCTTACTACTTGCACGTAAGAACTGACATTTCACTGCCTAAATAAATATATCAAGGGCATAACTTCAAAAATGTCCTCTTTTTTTCCTCACCAAAAATCAAATTAAGTTTTTCCTGTTGATTCTGCTGCTAATGCAACAAGGTCAGTGCTGAGCGCTTTTGAAATCTCCCCTCAGAGGATGAGCCTCACGTGCTACCAGGTGGCATGTGCAAGGTGTCAGAACCAATGCTAGTCAAGCTCCAGAAGGGTGCATTTCGCATGTAAGAAGCTGAAAATATTTTAACATTTAAATATTTTAAAGCTCATGATCGGATATGGAGTATATCTGTCTCTGTGCATGCATGCCTAATTATTTAGAAAATAAATACAAACACATTTTTATTAACTGTAATGAATACCCAGCAATGCTTTTTTCCCCTTTTTTCCCCTCCATACTTCTTTTCCCCTGGTGGTTGCCAGCAATCTGTTCATCTAGGAATGTTCTGTGGTTTCCAAGCCCCTTCCAGATAAGTGATACGCAAGTATCATTTCCTTCCAAGTATCTTCCTGGGAGAGAAGCAGTAGGCAGCTTTCCTGCCCCTTATTGCTGCTTCTCAAGTAGCAGATGCTACTCTGCTTCCTGTTGGAGCAGCAGGAGAGATGCTGGCCAAAGTGGGACTGTTTAACTGGTGCCCGAGGAGGCGCCCTGGGACAGACGTCAGTTCTGTTGGTTTGAAGACAAGACACTTTGGGCATGCAGCACCTTGTAAAGCACAGGAGCAGCTTGAAAATAAAGGCCGAAAAGAAAAGGGAGAGCAAATGTAGCAGCTTTAAGAGGGTGAGGAATTGATGCCTGTGGCAGAAGAAAGCAAACCATGGGGAGAGAGACAAGTAAAAGCGCCCAGAGGGTGAAGAAAATTGTATACAATGCAAGAAGTAAATACATTCCTGGAGAAACATTTTCAAATTGCTTTTTAGAAACTTAAGTTCATCCTGAAAAACTCATTTGAGTTTTTTTCCTCCTTTTCCATAAGGAAAACAATGGGCTCTTCAGAATGCAAAATGTAACGGCGTGCTCCCAGCTGATAGCATATTTACAGATTTGTTTCAGGATGACTTTTTTACTTCATGGCAACTTTTAGGGAGCAGAATGTTGCTGGGGAAAAAATAAATTTCTAATTGCACTGTGAGAGAACCTTGGTATACTCGGTGGGAGTTGATGCACAGAAGCAAATTATTTATTCTGTGTAGTTCCGTTAACAGATACAGTAGGAAAACAGTGTGTAATTTGTTTTCTCCAGTAAAAAGCAAGCTGGGGAAATAAGTGAATGACCGCCACTGTTAGATCACTTGTGGTTAGGTTTAAAATACAGTTGTGAAGGTTTCCATACAATATTTTAGAAGAGAATAGAGATTTTTCTATTCAGAGTCTAAGTCCAGAGCAATGACTCAGAACCCGCTTGGACGCAGCCCTGTGCCACGTGCTCTAGGTGACCCTGCATGAGCAGGGGGGTTGGACTCGATGACCTCTGAGGTCCCTTCCAACCTTCGGCATTCTATGATTCTATGAATATCTCTAACATTTAGGGAAATTTGGACCTGTTCTAAATACTGCAGCTTGCTCTTGGCCCAAGACTGCTGCAAAATCCTTTATAAGCTGGCATGGACTTTTGGTACTCTTTCTCCCTTTCTATTTTTTCTCCCTCTTTCCTCTTCTTGCTGGGATGCACTTTCTGCCACTCTGTTCCTGATCAGCAACACAAACAAATTCCTCTCCTTTCCTGCCACAGTACTTTTTGGGGCAGAATTTAAAATTTAAAATGGGATCAGAAAAAAATCAGAAGAGAGTATCTTAACAGTAAGAACCACCAGCAGCAACAGACTCAATACACAGCTGTTGCTCCCAGAGGAAATAGCTCAGACATGCAAGATCTGATAGGGCCACCCTGTCTTGTCTGAGGTGATGGGTGCAGTAGAAGTGGGTGTGAATAAAACCCAAGTACCACCAGAATAAGTGGGACAGCATCACACGGTACCTGCTGGAAAACTTCTCTAGTGTTTGTCTTTACGCAGGTGCTAAAGATCATGCACCTCTGTGTTTGTCTTCAGTTGTTTTTGCTCCCTTAAATAGAAAGGGAAGTTTCTTCCTCTGAAGGACGGGAGAAGATTAGAAGACAGGACTGCAACTTTCCAAAGCTGCAGAATTGTCTGAGTGCCTAACCAGTATGGTGAAAAATGTCCTGACGTGGACATGTAACATCCTTGTGAGCAGTGGCACTTCCAAACCTATCCATTTCTGTTCCTAATACCTCAGACGCGCTTGCCTGTAATAGAAAATGAGCTTGCCTGCAGAATCCCTATGCAGAGAAAGAAGTAATCCGGTGCACGGGCTAGTCTAAATCTCTGAACTGAAGGAGCATCCCTTTTGGCATAGGACCCAGATGGAGTTGCTAAATGGAATGATAGGTCTCTCAAATCTGCTTTTCGGGGTGTTTCTGGTTCTGCGCGTGTTGCTGCCGGTGCCGCAGCAGCCTCGACTGTGAGGGCATCTCCTGTCTCAGCTCTGTTCCCTCCTCCTAAATCAGGAGACGAGTGTCCATTGCCTTCAGTTTCCTCTGCGGCTGTCGGGGATGTCCTTGGACTTTCCTGATGGCTGCTATCAGCAATCTGGTGGCCAGCAGTAAAAAGAGAGTCTGGAAAAGCACGGGGAAACGGAGGATATTTATGCTTTTGTTTCTGAAGACCAATTTTAAAAGCTGTGACGGATCTATTTGGGTCATTTCTGCTCTCTTTGCAAATTGTCAACTTGCTGGAAAAGATACAGGAATATTTTCCTGGTTATAGAGGTGCCTACTAGGGACTTGATACTTAAATATTAGAATAGTGTTTTTGATTTGGCATGCTGGAGACAAACCTTGAAAGAAATGTCTTTTAAGTAGGGAATTTGGGGAATGGAGACTTAGTATTGGTTTTAAAACAGGAGCTTTTAAAGAAAGATTTTAAAAAATTCCTGCTACTCCATAAATACTCTTTACTCCCTCATAGCTTTTAGTAGGTCCTATCAGACCTGCTTCTTAGAAGTGAATTTGAGATATTTTCATTTTCAAATTGTTTTATCCTTAGACAGCTCTTGAGGAAGGATAACAGCTAGTCAGGAGATCCATTGAAACTTGGATTTTACTTGGCTGCTATTTGGAGGCCATTGCAAAATATTCCGTGTGAATTGCCACCCTGCATGACAGTATTTTGTTATAGTAATAACTTTGAAAAAATCCAGAATATTGTAGGAAATGAGACTAATACAGCTTTCTCTCCAGTAGAATATTTTCTGTATATTTTTTACTTTGAAATTCTTGATCTCATTCTTGATATTCTCATACGCTGCTGGTTCTGGCATGTGTAAACAAGAAATATTGGAGTGAGCATCTTTGAGTGCTGTTTTATTTTTCATTTTGTAATTCTGATTGCACAAACTATTAATTTTGGGCGCAAAGCAAAGATACTTCCCAATGCTGATAATTTTCCCAGAAATTCTGGTCTAGTAACAGCTTTTGTCTGTCTACTTCTTTCTATTTTAGACATTGAAAAGTTTATCTACTGCTTCAGTCAGCATGTGCGTTTTAAGCTCATTCACAACAGCAATGAAAAATATCAAAACATCCAAACAACTGAGTAAGCCCAGACCTTGCCAATAAGTGTGAATTGTTAAGTGCCTCTGGGTTGGAGAGGACAATATTTAGCCTGGTTTAAGCTATCAGTCTCCACTACTTTTCTTCTATCTTTCTATTTTGAAATGTGTGGAAGAGAATATAGGCTTTACATGTCTGAAAGACTAATTTTTTTTTTAATGAGTCATTTGAATAAAATAATCCAACATTAAAATTATGTTGTAACTTAGTAAAGGAAATGAGCACACCTCTTAAGTCAAGGCCCCCCTCTTTTTTTTTTCTTAATATAAAATTCTTTAATTCTTACTCTCCAGCAGTTCTGGATCGTCCTGTTGAATTGCTCAGCCTCTACAGCAAAAGATAATCAACTCAAGGTCTAAAAAAAAGAATTGGCTCTTAAGTGAGCTAGTTGAGTTAGTTATTGGATGTCTGTTGGGTAGTGACTTGTAGGCTGCTCCAGACACGGCTCTGCAGCTATCTCTGGTCAATGAAAATAATAATGTGCCCAGAAAAAGGAGTGAAAACGCACAGCTGAGATTGGATATCGTAGATTCTCATGGCCTCTGTGTGCATAGGGGTGACTATTGATTTGCTGCCATCTAGAGCTGGGTTGTTCTGCTCCTGCTTTTTCATTTCCCGAATGCACCAGAGGCTGCAGGTGCCGGGTGCCAGCATGGGCTTCCTTCCCTTACCTGGCCGCTCGGAGCTTTTTTGCTTTTTCTTTAGTTTGGGTCCCAAATATGGATGAAGTTAATCATCCATATTACTATGTAATATGTAAATCTACCTAAGTTATTTAAAAGTTAACTGGTGCAGTATGGAACTAAAAAGAGTTAACATGATTTGTGACTAGCAGATGTCCAGGGCATGGTGTAAAGCAAAAGGAAATGCGTTTCTGTGTCCTCCCGGACTTTGTCACTTAGAGTATTGAGAGGAAAAAGACGAGGACAAGAGATGCAGCTGAAGTTCTCCCTTTATGTTTTTCTCTCTCCTCTCTAGTCTGTTTTACTGTGACTTTGAAAAGGGGAATTTATGAGTTTTGGT